ATTTAATCTGTGATATTCTAGATCTCTAGGCGTCTCGTTACTCAAACATTATAAGAAAAACAAAATGCAAAAAAATCGTTACGGAATTTCACTCCGGTAGCAGAGATGGCTGGCCAGAGCGAACTACAATTAGAGAGATTAAACAACATTTTACCTGCTCTCATTACACCATTCACGACTAACTCCAATGTTTCGTCGATTTTTTTTAACAGTAATAATGAATCAACTAGTAAATCATCTAAAAATATGCATTTACAAGAGGAAAACAACCAAATTTAATCTCAAAACAACAGTATACTTGATTGATTTTCCAGTTTTAATTGTACATCAGTTGTCGGACTCAGATTAGAATTATCATTTGATGTATTATCATTAGAATTATCAACAGTTGTACTTAAATGTGTTGTATCAGTTTTACCAACCTATATGAAAATCTTCATTAATATGATGTTACGATCAGAAGGGAAGAAATATGGATAAAATTTCAACGGTTACTTTATTCCATTGTTTCTCTTCGTCACTTTTCACGTATGTACCAAATGTAGTCAATGGTTCACTTCCCTGATCTAAAAGAAATGTTTGTACAGTATATACAGCTGTTTTCTCCAGTCAAATCAAATGACCTAATTTTTCTTGATTATCATTGGATAACAAACTTGATGATCTTAAACGAAAGTCACAATGTCCAGAATTAATCAGGCCATCAACTCTGATTGCACCAAGCAACGCACTCACAGAGTTTACCTACAACAGAAGACAACGAACGATAAATAGACTCCGATAAGAATGATATCAAATACCTTCTCCCAAACGCCTTTTTGTTGTTCTTTCTTTTCAATATCATACATGGATGCTTTACTTGTTCCATAATCTGGTAACTTCCAGATAAGCTCAACTGATTCTCGAGATAACGTTTTCACAGTCGGTTTGATGTAGACTGGCAACAGTACATCTGTTGAAGGATAACTTGTATCTTTTAATGGCACGTCATTTATATTGACAGTTTTACTATGAACCTCTTGGGAAAATGTTTTCTCAGCATCAACAACACGATTTTTCTTCGAAGGCGATTCACTGTCATCCTCAGTCTTTAAAGGTAGTTTTTGTTCTTCACCTGGTGGTTTTACATCAGTCACACTGCTTCCAAATTTACTTTTTCCTTTACCTGTTGGTTTTTGCATTGAATTCTTTGATACTTCAACGGAGTCGTGCGAGACATTCGGCGTTGCTGGTAATGAATTTAAATTTTCCGTATCCTGTTTTATTTCCGATGACAAATGCAATTGAAGAGTGTTATTGTGAGTTGGAGAAGATTTGTCTTTAATAGTGGAAGCAAGATAAGCAGCTGTTGACTTGTTAGTCAATTCTTTTTCGGTGTCTGTGAAGTGTTGTGGACCATCAAGTGTTTCATCATGAATCGAAGATGATTCTTGTTTTGAATTAAAAGTTTCATATTTGGGTGCATCTAATTTTTTATCATTAAGAACATTTTTCAGTAACTGATCGTTAGAATCCTCTTCAGATTGGAAAGTTGAATGCTGCATTAATGATTTTTTCTCTCCACTGTCAGCACTAGTTTCTGATCTATTTCCATAAGAACTCATCTCTTTATTCTGATCGTTAGTGAACCCTGCATCTTCCACTTCCTGCGGCAATTTTTCTGTGTCATCTATTGAGTTTCGCAATGACAATTTTCTACGGGTATTGTTACCCTCAGTTTCTGTATAAGTGTTCACGCTTTTTAAATTAGTATTCTCGTAAACACTATTGATTTGATTATCATTCGGTTTCGACTGATGCCCAACTTCAGAATCATTCGTGGTGATAACGCTCCAGTTTTCAGGTGTCTCTCCGTGTGACGCGTCTTCCTTCTGTTTGATGGAAATACCTGATCTACTCCCACGAGCTTGAGCCATTTCAGAAACATCCGATCCTAAAAAAAATGACAAAATATACTTCAGAACAAGAGTATTTTTTATGTACCATTCATTTGATCCTCATCATATAGCAAACTTTTCAGTGTTTGTTTTGTCTGTGGACTAATAGTTGGAACAGACTCAGTACGCCTTGACTTGATTGCACTTGTGGCTTCAACTAATTTTTCTATCGTTGTCTGTGGCAATGACAAACTAACGATTCTCTCCTGTGTCGTACAACGTCTAGATTTAGAAATAGTTGGATAGTTGGTCTCATCAGTACTTGAAACACTATGAATTAAGTGTTTTTGTCGTTCAGATACTGCTTTTTCTTCTTTTACTAAAACGTCATACGATCCCAACGTTGTAGGTCTGATTGGCGATTTTGCTTGGCGTCTAACGCAAGATGTTGATCGTCTTCGTGAAACCTTCCCATTATGAGTTATTGAATGTGAATTATCTTCGTTTTGGTCCAAAATCTATATATACGTACATTGCACACTATCTCTTTTATAATTCTGAAATATCATTACCCTATATCGTCTATACGCATCACTGCCAGATAACCTGTAGACATTGGAAAATCGATCAAATTCACGCAAATGTCGGTGGTCACCATCGCCAATTGGTCGAGTGCAATATCGACAAAAGGTATTAACTTCCTCTTGACCAAGCATCCGCAGTATTCGATTCAACTGTAGTTCTTGACTAACTACCTGTATATTCAACCATAAATGATTTCACTATTCAGTTAACAATAGTTAAACAAGATGCTCACCGTCTCATGAACATTTCTAAGAGAAACATAATTTTCTAGACGTTTGTCGGCATTAGATGCCATGAGACGGTTTAGTTGATGTTGTGAATTGGTCTTTGAAAACAAAAGAAAGTGTCACTATCAGTAAGTCAAAACAAAGTAGTAGAAATATATGTTCCACATTTTTATTGCAATTTATAATTCTTTCTTATCTTGCTAAAAAATATTAGTTGTAGTAGAAATGATGAATTCGATGAAAACAAAGAGTTCATACATGAAATATAAAGTTCTATTCCAAATCAATAAATAGAAACTGACTAATTATCTTACCATAGATACTGATTGATCTACACTGTTCAAATCTTACGAGGAATCATTTTTTAGATCCATAAAGACTGGATCTTTCACATCATATAAATATTTACTCTTTTTTATCTGAATATTATGACAAAAGAGAGAGAGAACGCTTTATTATCATGTTTTTGTGATTATCAGACAACTGTGAAGCGAGGTGGGAGTTTGAATATTATAGTCACCAAAAATCATTCTCGATTGCTTTTGTTCTTCGATCATACGCAGATACAAATATGAAATAATAAAAAAGAGGAAGAAACACTGATTAATTAACAGACTAGTGCACAGATTATTACTCTATTTTTATGTTTTGTGTATTTGTTTTTCAAATGAATGTTTGAAGAACGATCAATTCAAATATGCATTCTTCTGTATCTTGATGTTTTTGTGTTCATTTTCGTGTGATATACAACAATAATAAACAACCTGTTTTTATTTTTCATTGAGATGAAAAAATAAGATTAGACTGTATAAGGTAGATCTTTAATCGATATTAAAGAATGATAAAGAAATTTCTCATGTGATTCCAGCACATCTTTTGTTTTCGAGATTGTATAATTAGGACGTCTAGACAGAAAAACAGAATCGCAAATTGTAAAGTATACTCCTCTACTTCTTCAAAACTATTTATTCACTTTTGAGCAAAACAATTTTTTTTTCTACATCAGTATCACTCTGCAACTTCCGTGTCAAGATGACCAAACAAGCCTTTTTACAAGCAGATGATCGTTTATGAATAATCTCTCTCTCATCATAATAGATCACATCTCTGAAGATTGATTTTCACTTTTTTCTTTCCTCTATGTTTTGGTTAGATTCGATCATGTTTCGTACTATACTTGGTAGAGACGAGAGCAATATTACTGATGATGTGTTCTCCTATATCACTAACAATATAAATGTGTAAAATGTCAAGTGTAGGCAGGAATAGTGGAAATAAATACACTCCAATAAATTTGCTCGAAAGTCTATTCTACCACTTGTCCAAGCTTTTTCCTCAATGCAAAGAAGTTCATGGACATTTCGCACAACACATCAAGTTAACTTTTTTATTTTACATTTTGAACGTATACCGTTGTAGGCATAGTTACAAAATGAAAAACTCTTTCGCTTTTTAATGTACGATGTTTTTAGAGTGTAGTAATCGAAATCAGTATCAAGATAGGAGATGCCGAACTCAATTTTTGAATAAAATCTGACTGAGTAACTGCATCTAAAATAATTTTGTTTTGTCGATCAAAAAACACATTTTCAAGTAACATCGAAGAGAACAGGGAGATAATACACATGAAAAGAAGAGAACGAGAAATTATATTATGGGCAATTTTTACGCTCTTTTCAATAGTATATTTGAAAGTTTTGTACATCGTCGTAGAATGGACAAAAGTCAACAATTTTTAAATCGCACTTGAGTTGGATTTTTCACTTTTACTTTTAGTTAGATGAGCAGAACAAGTCATCTTGTGTAAAAGTGTTCTGTTTCGTTGATTGCCGTTCAAAATGTAAAATAAAAAAGTTAACTTGATGTGTTGTGCGAAATGTCCATCTTTGCATTGAGGACCAAATATTCTTTTTTTGACTTGTTCCATTTTGAGGAAACTAGATATAAGCTCTTACTAACTTCGTGGATCAACAAGTCTTTTACAGCTCAAAGCGCCAAATAACCGGATAAAATATTGTTGCTCTTTTCTTTCACATTAATCATGTAATTTATTTGAATAGCCTTAAAAAAACACACCAATAGACAAATATGAAAAATATCGTTTAATTTGTAGTAGAAAGAATCAATCAATCACAGAATAGATCAGAAAAAACATAGAATTAGACTATTGAAAGCCCGAGAGCAACCAGTATTTAAGTTACTAATCGTTTTTAATATAATAAGACAAATTTCATCAAATTTTTATGGTAAATCTTTAATAATAATGATGCATTGAACTCTTTCTGATCTAAAGTCAAAAAGGCAACTTTCAAGTAGTTTTGTTGTGTATAACAATATCATTCTAGAGACTTCATAATGTTTTACAGTTTTGCTTTAAGTTTTTTTTCTGTTTTATGAACAACATGTTGTTCCAGAAATTGTTCTATTTCGGTCGAACTATAACCAATTTCTGCAAGGATATCAACAGTATGTTGACCAGAATAGGGTAAATTCAAATTGATGTGTGATGGTGTCAAAGAAAAGTTTGGTACTGGTTTTGGCACGTGTGTATTATTAGTCGGTGATGATATGAAATTTTTTCGCTTTTTATTATGTTCATGTTCGTGTGCTTGAGTCCAATTAAGAACAGGCGTACAACAAGCGTCCAGTTTATCGAATATCTCAATCCATTCTTGTTGTGTTTTTTCTAAAAATATTTTCTCAAATTTCATTGTCATTTCATTGATATTAAATTGACTGTTTGATTCATCTTTAGGATTCAAACCAAGTCCAATTAATAAGTCACTATAAAAATCTTTTTCCAATGAGCCAACAGCCATATATTTTCCATCTTTTGTTTCATAAGTATCATAAAAATGAGCACCACCATCCAGTAAATTTTCCCCTTGTTTCTCACTGAACCATACAAATGGAATATCACGCGAAGTATACAACCATGAACTGACATATGCAGAACCTATGATAAAGTTGTGTTAGACATTTATAAATATCACATATAAAGAAGAAACTTGAATACCTTCAGCTAAGGATAAATCAAGTATTTGTCCCTCTCCTGTTTGTTCACGATTATATAATGCGGCCATAATAGCATAGGCACACAGCAAGCCGCCACCAGCAAAATCAGCTAGATAAACAGAAAAATGACATTAGAGATAAACTCACCGAAAGAAGCTGACGTTTTATATACCTATTACATTTAGTGGAGCATGCGGTTTTGAATTTTTTCTTCCTAACATTGATAATACACCACTTATTGATAGATAGTTAATATCGTGACCTGCTTTCAAGGATAATTTACTGTTAGAATCATTTTGACCATAGCCCGATAGTCTTGCATAAATCAAACGTTTATTATCCTCATGAATAAGTACGGTAGGACCAAGACCTAGAAAACTATACAGAAATCATACGTGATAGATCTTTATATCTACAAATGATACTGACCTAATTTTTCCATTACGCCAGGACGAAACGGTTCTAAAACAACAACAAAACAAATCTTCATATTATCGGTCATAAGTTCCATTCTTTTGTGTAATTATTTGATTCGATTTTGTTTTGACAACTGTATTCGTACCTATCAGAACATCAGCTGATTTTGATAAACGTCGAAATATATCAATTCCAGATGGTACCTTTAAATCAATTGATATGGATCTTTTACCACGTGATAGACGATCAAGTTTTGCAATATTTTGATCATTTGAACGATCGATTCTGATCACATTCGCACCAAAATCTGAAAGTAACATACCACAAAATGGACCAGGTGCCAAACCGGAAAGCTCCAAAACTTTTAAGCCACGTAAAGCCATTCTAGAATATTTCTGAAACATAATCAAATAAACATTATGTAGAAAGAAAACACTAAAGAATATATATGTAAAAAATACGTTAAATGTCAACATTTAAGAAAAATTTTTCAACAACATCTTTATTCATGATATGAAGTGTTAATAAAAAAGCAACTAAAATAAATAAAAAATAGATGAAAAAAATTATTTAAGAAAGGAAAATGTATTCTAAAAATTAAATAAGATTGATTGAGGATAAACACACCACAATCATTATTTTCGTGTAAGAGAGGACATTCACGTTTTGATATTGACTTAAAAACTCTTCTTATTCACTATTACTTGTGACTCGTAGACGTGTATCGTGTACTTCTTTGAGTATGATATTAGAATTTAAACTATGAGACATATTACCAGTGTACATATATATTGTACATAAACTTTGTAAATAAAAGATTAAAATTAGTATTAAAGATACTACAACCAGAAAAAAACATTTTTAATAGAGAGTGAAAACGAACAAAGAAGAAGAATAGACATCGTCAATAACGATCTATTTTTTTGCTTTCATTTCCCTTATCTTCGTCTTTCGATCTACTCTCTACTAATACTGTACTTTTCTGTTTATAATATTTTTTATACTAATTTTAATCTTTTACTTGCAAAGTTTATGTACAATATATATGTACACTGGTAATATGTCTCATAATTTAAATTTTTTGACTGAAACAAATAGACTTTTAAGCCCATAGAATGTCGATCGTTTGTCTTAGACCAATGGAAAAGACAAAATTTAGGTGAAAATCGCGTAAACCAACTCAACATTATAAACAATTCGAAAATCAAATTATAAGATTTGTGAATAGATTTAAAATTTCTTTGCATTTCTGTTCATTGAAATAAAAGTTTACAAGTTCATAATAGAAACATTACATGTAATAGTAAATCAGGAATTTTTAATTCAATATCAAATGAGAAAAGTCATAAAAAAGATTAATTCATAAGATTGTGTTTAATGCATTGCCCAAAGTTTTTTCAATGCACTTGTTAAACCCATATCATTGTAATTGTAATAACATAAACCACCAAATGCGATAGCTGTTATAATATAATGGAGGGCATTTACGAAAGGCATTGCGTTTCGAGGGCAATAATCCAACAGGACAGCCTCCATTCCTTAAAATAGATATAAGTCATATTAATATCTAACATAATTCTTAGGACAAGATAATACTTACCCCAATGTGCATGCATCGCTAATGTACCAGCAAGTAAATAATTCATTACTGATGAGTCAAGTACAAAAGATCCCGGTATAATAGCTAATAATGCAATAGCTACAACACGTTCAAGTTTCCAGTGTGTTGAACTTGTTAACATTGCTAAACCCGATTGTTGTTGATGTGATAAAGGATAAAATACGGGATGAGCAACAGACATTGAAGTTGGAGATTTCTAAACGAACAAACAAATAAATAAAATAAATTTCTAAGTTAAATAAAACCAATACCAATGATGGACCGCCGACAAAGTACGAATTAGCCATAGCAGGATTAAAAATTCGACTTAGTGGTCGAAAGCTTCTTAATAATGTGAGACTCATGATAATAAATGTGACGGAATCAGATCTAGAAAAATCAAACATTCATAAACATAGAAGTAAACAATTAGTGAAAAAGCTAACTAATTGAATATAAATAGAGGCATAACATGTAGAAAATTGGATATTTTATTCATATAAATTTTTAACAAAAGAAATATATAAAGCTAAAAGAAAAATTACATCAAAAGATGTGTATATAATCTCAACTTTCAAGTGTCCATTTTGAACACTGTTAGGGTTTTAATTCTAGAAAACAAAAATCATATATTAATATTTAAAAGAAAAACAGAACATAAAACAATTCCCACGTTTATCTCGCCTCCGAGATATTTCGTGCAGAAATGAAATTCATCACAATTGTATAATAGTATTTTTCTCAGATCTTCATTCGTTTCATCTACGAGTTATATTTCGTAGATTTTTACGAAATCAAACACCCTCATTGATCATATTGTTCAATATACGTTCAGATATATTCTACAATGAAGAAGTAAATTTGAGTCATCATGACTGTAAAATAGACTATACTTTAGGGAATCAAAACATCTCTTCTCTCAATCAGAATCAAATATTCTGTATTATTTTAAATCACTATTGATAAGACAGATGGTCTTATAAACGCTTGCGTTTTGTTTCTAATTCTAATCCTTCTATTTTATTTTTTCAAAACATAGTTTAACATCGTTTTAACACTTAAATAGCATAAAAATCTTTAACCTGAATGCGAATTAAAACGAATTCGATTAGTCTATTCTACTGAAAATGTTATCATTAACCGTTTTAGCATAAAAGATCGCATTCATGACAGAGAAGCCAAAACAAAAGTTGTTAAATTGTCATCTAGATCAGTAGCTATCAAAATACAAAATACTTCTTTACACGGTGTTATGACAAGAGCAAACAGCACAAACCATGTATTCAAACCGGAAAGATATAAATAGCTTAATTGATATACTGACACATGCTGTGAAATTAGGGATAAATATTAATTAAAATCTGCTATTGGAAGACATCTCAAAGCCATAGGACATCTCAAAGCCACAGGACATAGATTTAGATCCGAAAATTTTCGAGTTCTGTTGGTTGAAAAACACAAATATAAACTTCTACTGAAAGAGTCGTTAACCATAAGGGCTATTGGTCCTATGTTAAATGGAATAGATCGATCGGTCTCATTGTATGCCTATTCTGGAGGCGTAAATAGTGAGCGGTTATCAAAGAGTGTAGTAGGTGTTGGTCAGTGTTATTAAGAATTATGTATACTATTGTCATGGCTCTTTACTCCATTTCTACTAGACAATTATATAGCTAATATGAGAGTGTTTTCTTTTCTCCATTTCAATTTTTAAGCTTTTGTTTTCTGTTACAGTTACTTATATTGACTTGATAATGACCATAATAGGTTGAGATATTGTCTATTTCACATAGCTGCATTAACAACACAGTTTATCTTAAAGTTGTTGCCCATTTTAAAAAAAATGTCGTCTCTAATTTATTCTAGCATAAAATGGAATTATTAAATCAACATCTTTTAAAATATCAAAACATATCCAGAATTTTTAATATTTTCGTTATGCTTACCTCCGCTGTACTTACTGTAAAGTAAGTGAATAACTGAGATATATTTTTTCACGAAGAGACGGTCAACAAGATGATAGATCTAAAAACAGAAAAATATGAATATAAAAGTGTGAATATCGAATAATGAATGCTCACACATTTATGAATAGTAAATATTAGTTTGATAATGGAAACGTTTACATAGAACTTCAGAAACATAATAGATATTCCAAAGATAGAAGTGAAGTCTTTAAATATCTTATATTGCATTTGTCAATAGATTTGCTTATATACCGAATAACAGAATACATTTACATTACAAAAAAACAATAATTGTTCAAAATGAAAACATACACACACACAACGACAAAATTTTCTAAGATGATAACAAGAGAGCAAAAGACACTCACTTGGTCGAGAATAAAAGACTAGCAAACAATAATACAACTACTAGCAATAATACAACTGACTAGCAAACAAAAATAATATGTAAGAGAGACACATATGAAAAAATATCTATATAAAAAAGTCAAAAAAATTATTTAAGATCAGAGCACATTATATTCCAGTGCTTCGAGTTTATTTCACTAAAATGTCGAGCTACTCGATTCGAGTATGTCTTCTGTTTTATTAATGACTAGTATTACAAATTAATTTTTTATCAAAGATTTTTTTGTATAGAAAAAATATTTTTCGTGATAATAATGTCATTGTCGAAATTCATTGTTGATTCAACATTACCATCTAAACATAATAATGTTGATGCTTTTAAATTTGTCTGTAATTTTTCATAATCTTTTGTTATCACCATTGAAGCGTATTCAATTTCATCATCAGTTTGTAAATCCAAAATACTCAATACTTTTTCAGTTGGAAATTGTAATGGTAAATATTTTGCTAATTGAGCCACCTAAAAACGAATACAATTAGTTGCATTACTTATGATGATCCATACATATACAAGATACAACATTTGCTGGTAAAAACGACTATCTTTAAATAATTTAGATCAAAATTGTCTATTAGACAATTTAGTCCTGCGCAAACTAAATAGTATTATCGATATGCAACAGATGAATTCAACATACTTCAATTGTTTCTTCGACTATTCGATAACTAAGAAAACTTACCAGTTTTGGTTTAATGAATTGTTTTAAATTTGGAGCCATTTTACTAAACATCCATAATATAGTAATAAATGATCCCATAAAATAATTAACAGGTCTCACATTATCATTCGAAAATAATTCATTTGAACAATAATTTAAAAATTTTTTAAATGAATCACTAACACAATTATTATCATATTTTGGTACAATAGTAATTGAGAGTTTATTTTCAGTTGTTGTTTGTTGATATGTATAATCAGTAATATCATCATCATTAAATATGGACCATGCGCTATCATCAACTTTTATATTATCTTTCTCATTTTTCTTAGTTTGTCTTAATTGTTTTTGTTTACTTTTTTCTCGCGTGTAGACAATATCGTACCATGATTTAGGATGTAACTCATCTAATTCATTCACATATTCTAAACACAATAGAATAATCATTGAAAAACACATTGTATACACATTTGGTTCAAGCATAAATTCATTTGTTTTCAAATTAAATAAATAAGGCAATATTTCACATGTTAATAATTTGGCTGATAGATGTCGTTGAAATAATAATACACCAAATAGAAAATGTAATGAACGTGATGTTTCATAGATACCATTACATGTGTTGATATTTAATAATAAGCGATTACACATTAATTTTGTTGAAATGCATTTTGTACACACGTATATTGCTTTTGATTGTTTTGAATTGAGAAAACCGTTCAATAAATAATCATTATACAATTGAGATA